TTCCGTGTAAGGCTTTGGTTGAGATAAAAAAGTAGTGTTACGAGCGGGATTCGAACCCGCGACCTTCCACTAAATACGCCGCTGATTTACCACTTGAACTATCGTGACTTCGATCCTCTCTGTCACCGACTCTCCATCTCAACCTACAACCGTTCGAACCTTCCCCTTTTTTCAAATGTCGTGTAATCGGATTGGATTCTCAGCAATTTATGAAGGGGCCACGGGGAGCTGTTTAGCTCGATAACTCAAGTGGTAGAGTAGCGGCGTATTTTCGCCGAAGGTCGTGGGTTCGAAACCCGCTCGTAACACTGATTTTTTTATCTCAACCAAGGATCTTTATCTCAACATGGAAAGAAATGATTAAGTGAAACTTGCAATTATCGTTTAAATAGTCTCACCACTCTTCACTCTATTATAACGCTACCTTGGACTGTATCTAGACAAGTGTCATACATGTTTCAAAAGGAGAAAACTGAACCAGTGATACCGATAACTTAAAATTCTACTAGACAACTAAATCCTACCTCGACAAAAAATCCTCATATTCAACTCAGAACTCACTACTAGTACAAACATACACGACAAAAATACGGGGTTCAACCAAACCATCCAAACTTCTCAGAATCCAAACCCTGAAATCACTAATCTGTAGATCTATTGTTGCCTTTGGTCCAACAGGACCATCTACAACGATTTAAACGGTCCCTTCATAAAAAATATTACAAAATCCAGTTAACAAAATTCCACACTAACCTTCCATCCCATCGAATCTTCACAACAACCTTTCAGAATAATACTCCTCGACGTCTAAAAAAATAGTGGCCCCGTGACCTTCTTTCAGAGAGTGAGATTGATTATAATTAATCAATGATTTACGTTAGCTAAATGTTAAAAAGAAAACAATTAATTTTTAACTAAATCGTTTTTGGCTGTTCTGCGAGAATCGCGTCAAGGCATGATTCTTCGCCCTACTCTATTTTCTACACGACTTCAACTGTTTTGATTATTGTCTCAAATCATTAATTATAGTAACATTTACAGTTTGGTTGTTTTTGAACATTCTGATGTCTTTTATTGTCAAATGTGCAAATAAGATTTTATTTTAATTATGTATAGTTCAATTAATTTCGTAACTAAATCGTTTTTGGCTGTTCTGCGAGATTCGCTTCAAGGCATCATTCTTCGTCCTACGCTATTTTCTACTCGACTACAATTGTTTTGAATATTGTCTCTAATAGGTATTATATAGAAACTTTTACAGTTTGGCTGGTTTTGAATTTTCTTATCTGCTTATCAGCACTACACAAAATTTCGTCAAACGTTTTAAAAGGACAAGACAGACAAAATAACGCACAGACCAAACAAAGCCTAATTGATTTAAAATTATAGGATAGAACCAAAAATAATCAGAATAATTTTATGTTTGATATGAATGAAAAATTGGTTCTAGTTATTAACTGATTGGTTTATAAATAGCTAGAACAAGGAATGTCTTTACAATAGTTTGATGAAGTTTTAAGATCATCTATTTATATATTCTTTTATCCGCTCAAACTAGGATTTGCTTCCAAAGTAGTATTTTAAACAAGTGAAGCTCAATTTCCTCCTGAACCCCACGGAATAAAGAACTGGTTGGATAATTGTTTGATCCCAAACGCCCCTCCAATCGGAGTTTAAGGTTTGAAAGGTGAGATAAATGCAGGTTGAATGTCGGTCAGATCAGATGGAAAGGAGTGGACGAACGGGCAATCTGTGCGGTATAATAAATTGAATAATGCAACTGGTATGTTGTCTTCTCGGGGCCAGTTCACGAAATGAGAAGGTTGGAAGAATGCGCGCTCCACATTCTCGCTGGTGATCCCCCCCTCCGCCAAAACACACACACACACACACACACACACACACACACACACACTCACACGCTTCCTATCCCAAAAACCCCTCCCAGATGTGATACATTTTTTCTTTACCTGCTCCTTTCTAGCGTAACGCCTGATCCAAGAATCCGGGTTGCCGACATGGCAAAGCTAAATTTAATTTGAGAGGAGAATTTTTAAATTAGTAGCCCCGATCAATTCAGGATATACTAAATCAGCGGTCTCATTCTTGAAAAGTCAGTTTAAATCATATGAACCATTGCAAAATTTATGAACACAATATGAGAAATAGATATAATAAAGATCTAGTTCAAACAATCTGACTCGTTTCAATAGCATAGCATTATCAAAATAAACACCTCCAATCACCAAAATCTTTTATAAAAACAACCACTAATATAATCTTTCAAATTATTACCAAATTGAAATAATGGTGAAAACACGTGAGTAGCTATATAGCAATTTTTTTTCTTTTCAAGACGACGTTTCAAGGGTGAAGTGAGTATGCGATATGTTTAACTTGATCCCTTTTAAAGTACGTGTGTGTGTGGTTTATGTGTTAGAGTGTGTGTTTAGGTATAAATGCCAATTTTTAGCGCACATTCTAAAGTGTCGGACTTGCCTTTCACGTTTGTTATTAATCTCTCTTTCTCTCTCTCTATCTCTCTTCGCTATGTATATAATTTAATGTATTTAATGTAATTTAAGATAGTGAGATTTTTTTTAGTTTTAGGACCTGCAAATAGAATGGCAATCGCCAGCGCCCTCTTTCTTTTCTTTTCTTTCTCGTGTTTTAATCCTACTAATTCATTTTCCTATTTTTCCAGCCAATTTATGATATGATATAGCTTCTCTGTATACCAGGGTTTCGTCAAATATGGATAAAATAACATAAATTACACTCGCACACAGTGTTCATATTACCCCAGAGTACTCGATATTCCATGGAGTAATTTGGGATAATTTCATACATTCGCGCTAATAAATTATATTCACACACAATTCATTCACACTAACCCAGTAATTTTGATAATGTCCTTTCTTTCCCTTTGTAGGTATTTTTTATTTATTTACGTTTATACACAAATAGCAAATACCTTACTACAATTGTACGTTAATGAATTAGATTTTTAACAAATGTACATATTTATTTGATTGATTTAAAAAAAATTAGATAGGCTTAATTTACCACCGTTTAAATTAGGCTCAAGTTTTAACCGAAACACGCTCACTCTTTCTCACTCATTCCTAAATACGTTCCCTCTTATTTACATATTTTTCACTCAAGTAGGTATGTAAACAACTATGCTTACAATACCTAAGTATATTCAAATTGAGGGTAGATGGGGTACTTCATATTCCGCCATCGACACTTTCGTACTGCACATTCACTCTTATAAATCCTTTCTCACGAAACAGTTAAAACAACTTTCACCAAATTTAGTATATACAACAATAGGATTACTTGTAATAAATAAAAGATCTATATGTACAGCATTACACAATTTTTCTCAGAAATCGAAACAGGGGACAGAAGTTTACATATATACTTCTATTATTAGGCTTTTTTTGAAGGTGGTTAAAGTTTGAATTTTATTTCTATTTTTTGACCTTTTTTGAATGTGGTTTTAGAACTTTCCAAATTTATTTCTTCTTTTTGAAGGTGATCAAAGATATTTCCAAATAAACTTCTAGTAAAGACCTTTTTGAAAGATGATTAAAGAAATTATCAACTATACATGTATCAATTTTTGACATAATAAACCTCAACCCTTTAAAAACATTTCCTTTTCCTAACTCATTCTTAATGCAAGGTTGGGCATGCATCAATAACGAATTTATGAAAATCCTTAGGGTTTTTTTTCACTTTCTACTTGTGAAATGCCAAAGACAAGCTTGTTGCACTTTTCGGCAAATTCTTATTGACCTAAAATATTGAAGTTCATCCAAGGGGACTTGTCCCTTGTTTAAACAATAATCAATCAGTGGATGTCTGGACAAGAGTCGAGAAAACATCATCTAAAAATCAATTAGTTTCTCACTCAATTTTCAACTTTTCAATGACTGTCACCACCAAAACGATAGTCAATATTTTCATAACACTAATTATTTATGGCGAAAACTTTTTATTAAAGGCAGCACCTAAATTTATAGTTCCTTTTTGTTTTGTTCATCTATAACATCTTTATTATTTGTGCACGTTAATTAAAAGTTTAATGTAAATGGTTGATATAATGTTATTTTTTACTTTTTTTGCTAAAAAAAATTCATTTAAATATTTTTATTCCTTAATGATTGTGGGACATTTTCAATCTTTAATTCGCATTTGCAAATTCAGCATTGTTATCGTACTTTCTTAAATGTGTGAAATATAGCTTTTTATTCCATCAAATTAACCTTTCCTCCCGTCAAATTAACCTGTTTTTGCATCTAATTAACCATTTTTTAATTTCAAATCAGCCTTTTTTAATTTCAAATTTGCCCTTTCTTTAAAATATCAAAAACCTGGGAGGTTGTATGAAATGTATGCACGTTAAGTAAAAATCCTGCATTTGAAGAAAAATTGAGTATAAAATAACTAGGTTCTTCGAAGACCATATGAAAATGAATTACAATTAAAATTAAAAATTGTATAAAGTTAATATAAAAGCAAATTATTATTCTCTTAATTTGAAATTTTTTAAATATAAAATAATAATTATAAAGATTAAAAATTTTCACATTTTTCAAATTAACAGATCAATCCATTATTTTTTTTATTTTATATAATATTTTATTTCAAGTGTTATTAATGTTCGTCTAGTTTTAAGAGCTCAATTATTTTGTAAGCAAATTGTCAAATACGCAGGAATTTTATTTTAAATGCTTGTATTTCAAAATAACTCCCAGGTTTTTTAATGTTTTAAATAAAAAGTTAATTTGAAATGAAAAATTGTTAATTTTAAGGGAAAAACTATGTATACACTGCAAAAGTAGTTATTCTTGCAAAGTACTAAAGTAAAATTACTTGTAATATTCTGCCAACTTTGTGTCATTAACCTTTTTTTTAAATTGTGAATAAAGTATGTATTACGTATTTCTGTACTTTCTTAAAGATAAGAAACTGTACACTGAAAAAATTATAACATGTTTTAATGGCATTTGTTTTCACTTTACCCAGCTGACAACATTACAATTATTCATAAATTTAGTTCACCTCGTTTGGATATTCTTTTAGCGGTTTAATTTTGCAATGCCTAATAAGAAAAGTGGGCAAAGGAAGAAAGCGGAGAAGCAAAAGATCCGCCAGAAGCAAATCCGGGAAGGAAACGAATCGCTAGATCTCGGTAAAATGCCTTGCAACGCGGTTATGGAATGCGACAAATGTAAGAAGAAACAAAAAAGTCGAGCTTTTTGCTATTTCTGTATGTCGGTACAGCGGTTGCCGATGTGCGCTCATTGCGGGAAGACCAAGTGCCTCCTGAAGACGGGCGACTGCGTTGTAAAACACCCGGGCGTTTTCACAACGGGGATGGGGATGGTCGGTGCGATCTGCGATTTCTGCGAGTCCTGGGTTTGCCACAGCCGCAAGTGCCTCAGCACGCACGCTTGCAGCTGTCCTCTGCAGAACGCCGTCTGCGCCGAGTGCGAAAGGGGCGTCTGGGACCACGGCGGTCGGATCTTCAGATGCTCCTTCTGTTCGGAATTCCTTTGCGAGGACGACCAGTTCGAACACCAGGCCTCGTGCCAGGTACTGGAGTCGGAGAACTTCAAGTGTCAGTCCTGTAACAAGCTGGGGCAATACTCCTGCCTGAAATGCAAAGTATGCTACTGCGACGACCACGCCAAGAGGAAAGGTTTTAAGTACGACAAGAACAAGCCTCTTCCCTGTCCCAAATGCGGTTTCGAGATGTCCCATACCAAAGATCTGTCCATGTCGACTCGAACGCATAAATTCGGAAGACAAGCTAGCAAAATAAACAACTATGACGACACTTGTGATGAGTACGGGCAAAATACCTACGGAGAGAATGATACTTACACGGAAGGCGTGCAAGTATATGGAAACTCGCAGTCCGAGAGCACAGACGATGATTGATTCAGATCCAACAAATGAAAAATATTCAATAAAATTCTTTCTCTTTTTAACTATTCATAACAATGTATAGTATGTTCTTAATTAAAATTCCAAACAATTTTGCCTTCGATCATTCATAAACAACATATGGTTTTTTATTTCTAACAATCAATTTTGTAATAACAATTATGTCAAATTTTACAAGTTTTGCGTTATAAGAAATTTACGTTTTCAAGCGATTGTTTTTAGGTTAGTACGACTAACAAAACAGGCGTGAAACAATATTGTGAAAGCTTGGTTATTTTTATCAAGCCGACTACTTACAACAAAATGTGCTTATGTTAACGAACCAGGTCTAGTATTTTAGACTTCAAAGCTAGATTCCAGAGGCGTATTGCGATTTACTAAGTACTTTCTTGTGTCTTTAATCAAACCTTCAGTATAAAAAAAATCCAAATTCAAATTGTATTTTAATTTTTGGGATTAACTTTAATAATTTAATCTAAAAATCATGTTCTATCGAATCCTGAGGGAGTAAGAATCCTACATTTTTTCACCAATCTTACAAATTAACATTACTACTGAACTATCACATAGTTCTTCCTGTTAAACAAAAAGCCAACAATGAAATTATTTCCCTGCAATTTGTTAGAATTCCAAATGGCCCAAAGTTCTGATCCAGTTTTTTTTTAGCAACTATGGAACTAACAACTATGGAATACACCTTAAAAACTTTTACAGTTTTTTAGTAATAGAGCATCAACTAACTAAATAAACTGTTGATACTATTTTGATCAATTTCTTTGTCTTCCTTGCAGAAATATATGGTTGATTAGGAAATTGTGTACAAAAGTTAACAAACAATATTTTTAAAATGTTATTAATAAATATTGTTTGTCATTTTTTTTACAAAATTTGCACTCAGTGTTGTTGCTAAATTTTACAAATTGACCTCAATCTTCTGATAAGATAATACAGCCAATGATTCTAACAACAATAATTTTTTTAAATATTTGAACAATTTACTTTTTAAAGGAAAAATAAAAATAAATAAACCTCTAATAAATAGAGAGAGATACATAACACTCGTAGCTATCAGTTATCACTCACACTATCACTTCCCATTTTTACAAACACAGGTTTGTGTAAAAACAAAATGTAATTACCAACTTTCAATTAATTAAGGGTTTTAGTTGAGATAAAAAAGTCAGTGTCACGAGTGGGATTCGAACCTACCATGAGCTATCACTTCGATCCACTCGGACGCTAACTTCCCATCTCAACCCCACCTTTTGAATTTTCCCTCCTTTTTACTAACCTACTGACCTGAGAAAATTTTATTATCATTAACCTTTCACAAACACTATAAAATATAATTAGTAACGTGCGGACCCAAGCAAAATTTATTATTTAACCAAACGCAAAAACCATCAAAGAAAATCAGTAACCTTGTGACCCTCACCAAAAAGTAGCATTAACCTATTAAAAAACAAACTTCATTAAACTAAACACAACATCCATTCAATTAAATTAGTAACCTGCTGATCTCAGCGAAAATTTATTTTTAACGTTGTTGAAGTTTTAATTTATTTTTTTATTCTTATTATTGAACCATAGTTGAATGGTAAACCTAGTGATGTAAATGGAACAAATTTTCATAACATTTTATAAATGTTAATCCATAGCTTCATGAAAGTACTACAAAGATTACTTGTATGGTTTATAAACTTAGTAATTATATTTTTTTAAATATAGAGTCCTGATGAAGGGGATTTATTTTCCTCAAAAGCTCGCCGAGGGAACTGAGAGTTGTTTTTGTCCAATTGGCCTCCCTCTGATCACTTTTTCTACGAAATTTATTTTTAACCTAAACAGCACAACAATAACATTTAATCATGACGTACCACCCGAGCAAACTTAATGATAAAGCTTGCAATTAATTAATCTTTATGTAAGGGATTGGTTGAGATAAAAAGTCAGTGGTCTGGGAACACTAACTTCCCATCTCAACCCCACCTTTCGAATTTTCCCTCCTTTTTGCCATTTTTCAATAGTGTCCGAGTGGATCGAAGAAAGATAGCTCAAGTGGTAGAGCACTGGCGTGTTTAGCCGAATGTCGTGGGTTCGAATCCCGCTCATGACACTGACTTTTTTATCTCAACCAATACCTTACATAAAGATTAATTAATTGAAAGATGTTATTTGGTCAATCGGAACACGAAAGCTAATGGATGTAATGATTAATTTTCACAAAGCAATAAAATGTAATCAGTAACCTGCTGACCCAAGAAAAGTTTCATTGACTGGTAGTTGATAAGGAAAGGTAAATATCTGCTTAAGTTTATACGAGATTACTTAAAACTATGGTGATCTTATAGTACTTAATCATGATTGAATCTTTTAAGTTTGTTGTATTATTTAGTTTGTTGTCCTATAGTTGCGTCTTTGATATTTCGTATTAGTTTATATTATGCCATTTTCGGAGAAACAATTGCTTTACCAAGACCATGTCGATGTGCGAACTTGTATGCAGCATCGGCAGATCTTTCTAGCTGGAACTCATGGTCGACTAAACAGTTAAATTGCACAGCTAATATTGATCACCTCGTGCTTTATTAGGTCAAAAACATTGGTTTTGTTGGTTTCATCTTTTGGTATTTTGGCAGAAACACCTGGTTGACTAAGACCATGTCAATTTGTGAACTTGTGTAAAGCACTAAAACTTTCTTGATGGATCACATTGTCCACTAAAAACTTAAATTAATCGAAACTAACATTGTTCACTCGTGCTTTATCATGTCAAAAACTTGGCATTGTTGGTTTCATCATTTGGTATTTTGGCAGAAACATCTGGTTGAATATGTCCATTTTAATTCAAATTAATTTATTAATAATTAAGTAATTTATAAAATGGTGTACGGAATCATCAGATCTTTTTTTGTTCAAACTCATGGTTGACTAAGGAATTCCATACTCTACATCTAACCTCGATCCACTATTTGTCTATTTTATCAAAGTACATACGTTTTTCAAATTCTTCACATATTTTGAATTTCTGATGTAATGTTGTAAAAACATCTGGTGGACTGAGTGGTATGACAACGTTTTAACTGCTATACCTCATCGGCAGATGTTAGATTATTAGCCACAAACTATTGCCCAAACCACCCCGGTAATTGTTGTTTTGAACTTCTGGTTGATTAAAGAAATTGAATCCTACATCCGGTTGTCTGAAAAACGAAAGATTCTCCTGAAATTTATTAGTTTAAACATTACAGTTTGTACTTTTAGAACTTCACCTAGTTTGAACAGATGTTCATATAGCTGAATCTTCAGCAGTTAGATTTTAAGAAATTTCTCATCATGACTACTGTTAATTAACTCCCCCTACATGATTGTACAAACTTCTCCAGCAATTTTTTTTTTCAACAAAGCTTTTTAACAAACGAAGGCAGTTATGAGCCACCACGTGCCTTGTCATGTCATAACAGGACTCTTAGAGTACACGATTGTTGTAGAATGTTGACTTGTAATAGTTTACACGACGCCGAAGCCCAATTTGGACGCAAATCACCGGAATGCGTGCTCTTGTTCCTTCCAGTCCAGCCGTGTACGGGGTCAGGTGGCGGAGAGACGGTGGGCAAACGAAAGTAAAGAGCCCTGTCGGGAAGGAGGAGGCACCTGTGGTCTCATTGAGTATGAGATGTGGGTCAAAATCCCTACCTTCCTTCTCGGTAACTGTGCCTGGCTCGCCCTCGTCCTTCCGTTAGTCGTTTCTTCCTCCTACTCCAGTCAACAACAAGTGAGTACTTCCACCCTCGGATTAACGAGACGAGAGAAAGGGATTGGTCTGACTCCGATGAGGTTTAGCTTTAACGTTTAGGATTTGTGCTCAGAGAAAAAGGTCGAAGAAGTGATACGCTAGGTCTCCTTGTCTATTCTGTAAGGGTTGTGCGTTTCTTTCGACTTGTACACCGTCATATACAGAACCTAGACATTATTTTAACGTATTAAAAAAAAGTCCGCTGGATTTTTAAAAAAATTGTGTGTAGCAGATAGTTTGGTGACATTTTCAAGGTAAATTAATATTTTCATTCAAATAAAAAAATTGCAAGTTTGTGACTTCTAACAAATGAAATTGTCGAAGTCAGTTTGATTTTTTCCAACACAGATGAACTTCACTTTGGAAGTGAATGTGCCTTCTTATGGTACCGAATTGTGACAAACAAATACTTAAAAATTTAGAATTTTGAATGCATGAATATCAAACATCCAAATGAAATTGTTTATTCGATCAAAAAATCACTTTTGCAAGCAAAATTTCAATAATAAATAATTTATTTATTAAACGGAAAGGAAAATCCTTAAGAACACTCCAGTGTTAAATTTCTTTTATATCAACACTACGAAAAATCCTACTTTTAACATTTTCAACTAGTAAAAATGGTAAAAATTCTTAAGGCAAAATTAAAAAGGTTAAGAATAGTTTTAAATGTATTTTCACATTTTGCAAGATAAAATTAATTTTAAAATATTTTAGCCAAATTTTACAAGGATGAAGTCAAACAGTCTAGGTGAATTATTTAATTAACCTTCAAGTCAGGGGCGTAATATATGTTTTTTACTAGGATATTTGAACTACGAGGTTATATGAACCTCGGGTGCCGATGTTTTTGAAAAAAGTCCATTTGTAAGAATGTCGGGTTCTAATACTGGGCGGCTGGATTCGAACCCGGGACCTTTACCTTACAATGGTGAGCGCCGTTGTCAACGCCTAAACCGTTGCGGCCACGCCCTCTTTACAAATATTTCAAGTTCAATGTTAAATATTCTATGTATATTTAATTTCCGTATGTATTACAAGGGTTAAAAAACCTTTGCAGTAAATTTACACCGGCAAAATGTCACAGTGATTTATTATGATAGACTTTTCAGACCTGTCATCTTACCAAGGCATATTCATCATCATGTCACAAGTTGATCCAACTGTTTTTCTCGGATTGAAAAAAAACAACAATGAATCATTATTATTTAACTGCTTTATGATCTATGAAAATTAAGGTTTGAAAAAGTTGGATAAAGATTAATTTTATGAATGATTCAAGTTCTGGTTTAGATGTTATATTGACTGGGAGTTGGGTTTTGAATAATGATCAATTATTTACGATTAGATTTTTTTAGATGGATAGAAGACCCAACGACAACGAATGAAGACGGACACAATAAGTGATCCAGCGCCGGTTTAGCATGAATAGATTTTTTCTTTTAAATCAGAATCTCATTAAGGCAGGTGTAGGATGTTTTAGCTGACAATTTAATTAACAAAGAACTGAAATTCCAAGCATATTATCTTAGTGTGAAAGTATCAGAATAGAACACATCTGAAGTGTTTATGGCATTGAATGGAAAGAAAGCAGTTAATTACCCTAATATTTGTTACCAGTAATGAAGATATGTGGTATGTAATAAGCGATTGGAAAAAACAAATGTCGGTCAACCAAAGTCGATAGTTTTTAACGGTGTGCTCGAGATCCTTGTTCAATTAACGTAGGCATTTTTAGCCAAAGGTATATTAGAAAATTTATTAGTTTCTTGAATATTGTTTAATCAGGAGTATAACTTTATAGAGTGATGTGATTTTTCTATTTAAAATTTAAAAAATTGACAAGACATTTATTAACGAACGAACAGTACCACTTATCCTTATTCGATCCTTATTACCACACAACTACGAAGTATTCCATGCTGTTTTATTACATATTTCAAGTTCCAAATAAGTAAGTTGCCACTCAATTGTAAATAAATTCAATCGGATTTTCTATTTGAAAGAATATTCGATATTGAGGTCATACAGAGCCGGATACTTTACGACTAGGGGGTTAGGAGGTGACAGCATGCCGATGATTGCATCGCACGCCAGATAGTGTCTGCAATGACGAGAAGTCATGATGTTTTCAGCAATTCTCCCTACTTTATAGCTACAGTTTACGCTGAATTATAAGCCGTACGATAATTTCCAACGAATGAACTAATCGTATTTTTAAAAAAATATATATAAATTGCCAAAACTGGCTAAATCACTCAGGATTTTTCATGCATTTTAAAATGGAATAACATTCAGGGAAATTATTTTTATAGAATATTTACGGCCTTATAATGAAAATTGTCAAATTGTAGGATAAGCAACTATGGGAAATATTACTAATATAAAATAGGTGTTTTTTTATTGGTTTATTATAAATTACTTGAGGGCCTTTGTATCTCAGTATTCCGGATCACGAGGTCTTTTATTATTAAACGTATTAAGAATTTTATAACAAAAGTAAATTATATTTAAGAATGTCGAAATTGAAAACAAGGGTCGGTGTATCCTTTGAAATAACCCCAATGTTCATCCTGGAAGGAATCTTTAATGATTTAAACAAATCTTTTAACTGTTTTTATTGGAGAGAGAAAAAAAATAAGCGTAGTTGTTTTATAGGCTGAGAAGTAGAAGTGTTTAAAATGAAGTTTATTTTCATTAAGGATTCAAAGCGCGTTTTAAAGGTTAGTGTTATGCAGATATGCATAATCTCCTAATTGCCGCTGCGGGCGGTTTCGTCCTTCTCCCACTAAGTACTAGAAACTTTTATTACACCGAACAATTCTATCGGTTTGCAATAAATTTTTACGAGATTTTTTTTAATTTTTCATCTGTTTGATCGGTCACGTTTGTCCCAGTAAAAGAACGATCACTCGTGAAATACCGCCATAAACCATAAATAACAGAAATAGTTCTTTATGCTTTCCTTTCTCGGTCAAGTCGTTGTAAACCGTCATGAACTTGAGACAAGTGTTGATCCTCTCCGGTGCTTATTATCCCCGTTAGACTGGCAATAAAAGGACTTTCGCTGAAGATAGCGGAGGGTCGGACAATTTGAACTCATTAATTTCACGATTCGCCGGTTCTATCGTAATCGATCATGTGACTGTTCTAATTCAGAATTTTTCCCAGGGTCTAAAAAAATCCAGTTGATAATTTTCATTGAAACAATAAAAGAAAAGGATTTTACAAAAGGTCTAAACGGTTTTTTTTGTCTAGGAAATAAATATACTTTTTATAATTGTTTTATAAAGGCTTTATTTGGAAGTAAACTTCGAAAGTCATGTTCGTACGCTTTCACTAAGTTCTATTTTCACCATCAAGGAGGTGCCTAACGGGATTAAGTCCTTTCTTGCACTTATCTCATTTATCCAAAATTCGACACAACCAGTTTGCTGATTGATGTAGACTGTCATGGAACATGATGTCATGAACACTCTGGAACAAGGTATGCTTGAAGAAGAAAGCTAAATCAGTTGTTACTGCCAAGCTATCGACCTATAAAGTCATCATCAGGGCAAACCAGTGGTGAAGTCTGTAGACATATTTAAGTTTTTTTTTACTGTGTCCCCTGTAAAACACTTAAATATGTTAATTTGTAAAAATATTTAGACTTGTTTTGCCCTGGTGATCACTCTAAAAAATAGGTCGAACACTTGACAGTAACAACTGAATTTGCTTTCTTCTTCAAGACCATACCTTGATCCAGTGTTCGTGAGTGGAAAAATGGTGGACATTTGTAATAGAGAAAACATGATTTCATGTTCGACATTTGCACCAACCATGTTTCACTTTGGCTTTGCTACATCTAAAGACGATTTGTATTTTATATTTTTAATAAATTTCCATGTCTATTTTATTATAATTAATTGATTTGTTTTATTTAAGTATACAATACTTAAAGACTGCAATCTTGGGAAATAAGACGAAAGATTGGTGATTGAAACAAGATTGATCTTGGCAAGGTATTTAATTAACCCATTTTGAGGACTAAAAATTTGTAGAATTTTTAAAACTATTTTGCCTACGACGAGAGTAGCTAATCTAGTGGTGAAAAATCGTTCATGGAAATTTTTTTTGCCAAGTTATGGGCGAACGAGGCGATTATTTTCTAAACCAATTGTTTTTTTTTTTCTGCACTGTACTTTTATCCTACTTTGTACTTACATAGAATATTTTAAGCAGTCCAAGGTTTTATAAAAACAGTGGACTGTGGAGGGAGTGTCACAGCGGCCGTTCCGAAAGGGAAAGGGGCAGAAAGGGAAAAGAAAATAACTAGAACACGTTTTCTTTTCTCCCGCTCGGAAGAGTTTTCCACCTTGAGAAAAAAAAGCCGGGTCAAGTTCAGGCCAGGAAGTAAGAAACAAATAGTCAAGGCACTACTTGGTGGGTGGGGTAGAAAGAGAAAATGAAGGAGAGGGGCAACAGCCGCTTTTATCGCCGTTGTCAAAAAAAGGCAAGAGCGTGATGCCCTTTCGCTAAATTGACAGCGCTTTTCTTCTCGATTTGCTTTCGGAACAAATCACGAACACGGATAAATGATCGGCTTTTCAACCGTGTTTAGCCTATCTGAACACAACAACAATCAACTCCCTGCCTGACGGTCTTTATTACCGTTGAAGCTGCGGACTTGCTACGAAGTAAATCACGGGCTTAAAAACAGAGAAAATCGGCGATATTGCATTATTAACAAAACCGGTTTTAAGCTTATTAAACGTGATGAACTTCAACCCATTTCGTTTGGTGGGGGTTCTTTAATCATAGGTTTACTGTGTCTGGCACCGCTGCAGTTCCATCACCCCCATTTTGGTTTTTTGTGGATCTATGGACAGATGGAGTTAACATCAAATTAAAAATGGTTCATGTATTTGTTAAACGTCAGAACGTGCTGGGCATGTTTGCAACGAAAGGATAACATCACATTTCACACGTACAATATTGACCAAACATGGAATATGTCGATTACACTGAATTGTCTATGAAAGGTCAAAACGAAAACACATACTCTTCAGCACCTACAAAATCGAAAGATATGGGATACGATGCCATAATGACATTGTGCTTGCCAGTTTTGGTGAGGGTTCTTTAATCAAAGGATTATTGTACCTGCTACGTCTGGAATTTGTGGAACCATTCAGAGATGGAGGAGTCTGTGTTTGATCTTAATATCCCAATATAGGTTCTGGGAAAATCCTCTGGTTACTAATCTGAAGAAGCAATGGTCACTATATGGTAGGAAGATTTCGATCTCTGAAGATCTAACTTTTACTTGATCCAAACAGGAAGTAAATGGCGGTACATAATGTTACTTGATCAGAACTGATCTACGATTAACGCTATGACAAATTTTTCTTCTTGTTCTCAGTAGAGTACTAAGTTCGTATAAAATCCAGCGTAGCACAGCTCGTGATAAATAACACTTTTGTACATCTAATAGCATGGTGTTTTCATAGTGGCTCTTTGAAGCAACTGGAAAAGCTGTTTTCTGTAATATTTTTCCTCAGGAATCAGGATTTTGCCAGTAACACACTTTTCAGCACACGTAATCATATCACATCATCACTTTCGGTAAATTACTGTGCTTGTCGAATTTCCTATCTTCTCGCGGGACCAGTCTGCACCATTTTTGTTTGTGGCGGTATAAAGTGTCTTTCCAAGCGCCTTTGACAAATACGCGAGTATTTGGGACTGAATTTTGATTCTACAGCTTGCTGTACCTCATCAATATTCATTTCAAGGATGTATCTTCAGAATTTATCAGATAGACGCTGAGTTGAGTACTGGTCTAGTTTTAACGCAAGTATCCGTACATTTGCTATTTGCTTTGTGTTCTTCCCAAAGAGGCTATTATTTTTGATTAGATAAAGAATATCTTCCAATCTTGTTACAAGGCATATTCATAAATATGGGACAGGAGGAAAGATAATTTACGACCCATCCAGCGCGCCCAAATATAGTTTGTGACATTCTTTCTAACCGCACTTTATATTCCGTTGTGGTCTCTCTGGTCAATATTTACGGATTTATCCCAGTTAAGCCGGGATCCGATTTGAAAGAATAGAAATCCCGCGACGACAGAGATTGCCGTTACATCCTTACATGGTCAATTCAAAACGCGAGAGCACAGAAATTTCATTTAGAAATCAAAACAAGTTTTTCTAGTTGACACGAAGTGTAAAACTTTGCAACAAGACAATGAAATCCGCAAACCATTGATAATATTGCATTAGTTAATGTTTGTAGACAGTTTTAATCTTTCACTTTTTATTTTAATTTAGGAAAACTCTTATGGTGTTTGTGTATGTAATTAACATTATATTTTTAACATGGTCAGGTGCGCTTCTGTTAAATTTTAACTTATGCTTACGCTCTCTGGTGTGGTACTCTAATAAATTGACCAAAAACTGGTGAAAGGCCGACCCTATATATTTCAAAATTGTATACAAAACCTGTGTTTCTCTTCAATTATATATAAAACACCCTCATTAACCAGAAGATTTATAAAAATGACGATTAAAACTATAAAGATTAAAACAACGTTAATATATATAGAGTATTTCCGTATAAATTAACCCTTTTTTGCACAAAATTAACCAATTTTTATTTTCAAATTAAATTTGTTTTTATCAAAAAAACCTTTTTAATTTGGAGTCAAAACTTCTTGCATAAAATTAATCCTTTTTTGCACAAAATTAACCAATTTTTATTTTCAAATTAAATTTGTTTTTATCAAAAAACCTTTTTAATTTGGAGTCAAAACTTCCCGCATAAAATTAATCCTTTTTGTTGTAAAATAATACGGTTTATAGAATATCATCAGCAACTAATTACAATTAAAATGATATAAAATTAAATATAAAAAAGACAATTTTTTCCTCTTTTAATCTAATATTTTTAATATTAATTAATAATAAAATAATTCGGATTTAAAAACCTTAAATATTAATTAGAATTAATTCTTTTTCCTGTCAAACTAACCTTTTTTTCTTAAAAGGATAACAACCTAATAAATGAAAGGCATCAAATTAAACCTTTTTAATTTCAAATTAAGCGTTTCTTTAAAGCGTTAAAAAACTTAGAACATTCCTAAAATACCTGTTTATTTGAAAATTCCTTGTTTAATATCAAATAAATGGGCTTTTAGAGGACCGTATGAAAATTAATTACAATTAAAATAAAAGTTTATGTGAAATTAAATATAAATTTTTCTTCTTTTAATTTGAGATTTTATAATATAAAGTAATAGCACTTAAAAATTATATGAAAATGAACTGCAATTAAAATGAAAAATTATATAAAATAAAATATAAAAATATATAAAGTAGTTTTATTGCATCTTGAGAAATATAAGAAATTGTAGTTTTTTAGAATCCTAATTACTTCATATATAAAAAATTAATAAATTATCAGAAGAAATTTGTTTTTAAAGGGGCATCCGACTTGGTCATTTCACCCCCGAGCGCATTCAATACTCATTCACACAAATAAATACATTCATACCAATATACATTGCACTGGCACTCTCGACACGACACGCAAGAATGGCACAATTACACAGAAGACAAACACTTTGAGTGAGTATAAATACTTTGATTGAAAATATAAAAAACATATTGTGCATTGTGTAAATTCACTTTTCCACATCCAAAATGTAACTGTTATATATAAACAATGTTTGTAAATCCCAGGCCCTAAAGATGATCTTAATAAAGATCGAAACGTTGGCACGATAAAGAAAATGTTTTTCTGAAACCTACATCACACCAGACCGCATCTCACGATTTCTAAATAAATATACATTGCATTCATTCTATTTGGTAGATGGAGTACTCAATTTCCTCCATCGACTTGCATACAATAACAAGCTAATCGAATTGGGGTCGATGGGGTACTTTTATAAATATTCCTCCATCGACCCAAGTCACGTACACAGCTCCAGGGGCGATGGGGATTCTATTGCCCCATCAGCCCCTCACTATTCACTCTAATAAATACATTCACTAATACAAGAATTTGTTCTAATATGTAGAGATTTGCGACCGTTAATCGATAGTTATTCAGATATCGTGAGATGCGGTCGGGTGTGATGTAGGTTTCAGAAAAACATTTTCTTTATCGTGCCAACGTTTCGATCTTTTATTGAGATCATCTTCAGGGCTCAAAGTGTTTGTCTTCTGCGTAGTTGTGCCATCCTTGTGTCGTGTTGAGAGTGCCAATTACACAGAGGACAAACACTTTGAGCCCTGAAGATGATCTCAATAAAAGATCGAAACGTTGGCACGATAAAGAAAATGTTTTTCTGAAACCTACATCACACCCGACCGCATCTCACGATATCTGAATAACTAGTTGTTATAATATTTAATTTTAAATCATTTTCACTTAGCCTTCTAAGAATCTAATTATTTGTTTAATCCAGAGATTTTTCTTTGCATGATTACCTTTGATACCTTTTCTATATTTTTGTAGATGTTTTAATAAATGGACTAATTTGAAAATAGGAAGGGTTATTTTAACCATTTAAAAACGGGTAATTTGAATTTAAAACGGTTAATTTGAAATGAAAAAGGATTAATTTGATGCAAGAAAGGGTTAATATTAACTTAAAAAAAAGTTCGCTTCACGGAAAAAAGGTGTATGTAAAAAAGTGGCTGAATAAGCTGGGCATGTCTCTAACACATCGTTCATTAACATACATCACATTTCACACGCATTATTAACAATAATGACTAAAGACAGAATATGTTGATTACAAAAAATTGGCTATCGCTTGAAAAATTGGCTTGAAGGTCAAAACAAACAGATATTTTCCAGCACCAATAAAATTGACAATTAGGATGATAATTAGGACATATTACGTCGTTTACCCAAAAGAAATTCTAGGTTCACTTTGTTATTAATTCGTTTAAATGGTTATCTTAACAAGATCCGTTTTGAGATGCATCATAACTGATCGTAAAATTGCTTAGAAATAATTTTTCAATGAGCCAATAGGTGAAAGTAAAGATATTAATGGCTATCATTGTTTATCCTAGTTTTCATAAAAGGAGTTGCCAAGACATTAACAGTACAAAATCATACAACTGAAATTTTTTTTCAATATTTTTAGTATAATGCATAGTTTATTTATTAATTGGTATTACTGAGTCAAGTTGATAAGTGATGGCCCGAAGAAAGGTCAATTCAAGAATGTACAAATTCAACATGCCAAATTTGTCTATAAAAATGATTTATAACAACAGATGTCCGATCCGTTCGTTACTTTTGTCCGACTTCATTAGGAAAGAAGTTCTTTCCGCAACTTGGAATCGAACAGGGACGAATCAAAAGAGAGGATTTGTTGACCCAATTTCTGTGAAGCAACCGGATTCTCACCCTGCGGCCTGACCTCTCTGTTTCTCCATCAATTCTTTTTCTCTCTACATATTACTTTATATGTATTTATTTTATCAACATAATTTATTAAACAAAGGTTAATTTTTTCAATTTTTTTTTCTTACAGGAGTGAGTCAAGGGAGGGATGTGGCCTAGTCTAGCTGTCGTAGCTGTCCTTATATTAGCCAGGACCACACAGGTAAGAATAAAGTTGACATTTATGCTGAGAAGGCTGAGAAAAATAAAGTTCCCGTCTTCTGGCCGACATGCATTACACGTGACTGTGCATGGATGCTCGGGCGTATGAAATCAAAAACGGATGTCTGTACAAATCTGGCGTTTATAAACCTAGACTAGTCTTGGAGATGTATTTATATACGGAATTACCCCATAAAGAAAATCATAAAAACGAATCAATAATATCTAGTTTAATTTAATTTAAAAATTCCTATTTTCATGGGGATCACATCATATCACAATTGAAATATAAAATTATATAAAATTAAATATAAAAACAATTGATTTTTCTTTTAATTTGATATTTGTTTTAAGTATAAAATAAAAACCACATGAAAATTAATTACTATAAAATTAAAAAAGCATAAAATAGAATACAAAAGTAAAGGCTCTGCTTTCAATTTGAGAAATTTCTAAAATATAAACTAATTGCGCTCTTACATAAAAACATCTAATTTAATTAAAATAAAAAATATGTAAAATTAAATATATAATACATACTAAAATTATATAATACCTGATGCATACATTTATATCATACCATATGCTAAGTTTTTAATGCTAACGAAAGTGCTAATTTGAAGTTAAAAAACGTTAATTTGAAGTTAAAAATGGTTAATTTTAAATTAATTGGTTTAATTTGGTGCTAAAAGTAGTTAATTAGAAAAACCTTTATGTAGACTACCTAAAAAAAGTTATCTTTCAGACGACAATTACTTACAAATCTCAAATAAAAGAAGAAGAATTTATTTTATATTTAAAATTTATGCATATAATTTTAACTTTAATTATAAGTAATTAGTCTTCTATGAGCCCAGCTCTTTTATATTTAATTTTGTTTTTTCAAATGTAAGAATTTTATTTTATGTACTAACAAATTCATTCATTTTCCAGGTTTTTGCAGTTTTGAAGAAAGCGTTAATTTAAAATTAAAAAGCGGCTATTTGAAATTAAAAATTGTCAATTTGACGGAATTAAGCTTCATGAAGATTTATAATTGTGGATCACTTTTTTAAAACCAATAATAATGCTGTAGTAAATTAAGGTTTTTAGTTGAGATAAAAAAGTCAGTGTCACGAGCGGGATTCGAACCCACGACCTTCGGCTTGATACGCCGCTACTCTACCACTTGAGCCATTTTGACTTCGAAGTGGTATAGTAGCGGCGTATCAAGCCGAAGGTCGTGGGTTCGAATCCCGCTCGTGACACTGACTTTTTTATCTCAACTAAAAACCTTAATTAATTGAATGGTGTTAATTGGTCAAGCGCACCACGAAAAATAGTGAATGTAATGCTTAGGATATTTATTTATATACAAAAATATATATAAATGGTTTGCCCTAAGGATATATTTTGTCCAAGAGAAGAAAATATTTATTTAGGTTGAGCTAAGTGAAAATAACAGTGGACAGGGCAGGAATGTAATTAATACTTTATATAAGATTTTGAAATTAAAGGGATAATCAAAGAGGCTATTGTTTAATTAAAAGCAAGAAAGTGTTTTGTGTGAAGAGAATATTTTCTAATGTTAATAGATTCTTTTAGAATATTAAAAATGAAACTGTCAGTATCCGTTAATATTTGTGACGCTAACAAGGCAATTTTATATTGATCACGTCGCGTCTTTCTTCCACGCTTTGTAGATAAATTCAAAAGGAAAAAACACCGTTGATTTAAAACAATTGTACAAATAGGTAACGTTCCACTGGAATTGCAGACATCGGGTTTCCTTGCAACTCAAGAAGCCGTGTACAATCATAATAAATAGTACCGTTAAACCTTTCTTTTTTGTGCTTAATAGGATCTTTAACACGATATCGCCGACCTGATTCGGACATTATAATTTAATGTTTTGTGCTCGAGGAAAATACAGAACAAATTGGCTTACAGTTAATTCAATTGTTCATATCGTAAGTTTACGCGGGACAAAATATTTTATGGGAGACCAGAGGCAGTTTTTATCCTATGTCTATTTCATGAATTCCCTGTTTCACACCTTTTTTTGTGTTTTATAACCTAATATCAACAAGTTTTGGTGATATTTGATAAAAAGTACATTCTTGTAACCTTTTAGCAAGACACGTTGTGGATTTTGCATAGTGATTTTATTATGTCAGCTGAATTATACTTTAAGAAACTTTAGGCCAGAACTCTGCCATTGCCAGAACGTCAATATAATTTGTTTTTAACTCATTATTCTGAATTAGGCGCGATAAGTTTTAGAGGAATTATCACAAATTAACTTCCATTTGTACCCGTTTCGTGAGCATTTCATTTAATCGATCTCTCTAACTATTTAATAAATATACATAATAACGAGAAATCTTTAATTTAACAATCTTTGTACAATAATAATTAATTATGACGTAATGAAAAAATGCAAAATCCTATTACATAACATTTAATTTGGCGTTATTTGGTCCCCCAAACCTTGCTTCATGCTCAGTAAGCCGAGCCTTCACCTGCTTCGGGTTCGACTTCGGTCTTTCCGTCCCCTCGTCAAAGTTAGGCTCCAGGGGCTGTCAACAGCTAGGTCATTCTAGTCTCAAACGTAATTTTTAAGCTAGATACGCTCGTATTCATTTATAAATGCATTCTTTCGTGTTTGCATACCAAAACTCAAGAAGGGTGGTTGAGTAGTGATATTTCTCCATCGGGCCTCTCACACTACACATTCACGCTAATAAATACTGCAAGTACACATGCAAGGAAACACAATGAGATATCGATCAATAAAACAGACTATTTTCCTCAAAAGTCGAAATACGGAAGAAGCACAATCTTCATGTCGGCTGGCATTTATACTTGCTTTCTATATACAGCCAAAGAATTTAACCTTCGGCTAAGTAAGAAAATCAAGCAACCTCTTTTTCACCCACCGAACACATATGCGTACTTTGGCCCAAAGTCAGTGATCGTGTGTTGACCTCGTATGGCTTATTGTTATGAACGAGTATGATCCATCTTCATCAAGTACGTTCTGTATCAATAAACAAAAAAGGAAATACAAAATAATCTAAATCTATTACGACTTTTTACAATAAAACAGCCCTGTTTCTTCCAAACAACCATGTTCGGGTGCCTAGCCTTCGGGGGACTAACCTCTAAATGGAGCCACGAAATGACACCCTTTGTATAAGTAACTAATTCAAATGTCAAAAATTCTAATAGTGAAGCTTTTACTGAGGAATTGAAATCCATCGGCCGTAGAAATGGAGCATCAAATACTGGCCATACCAAAATTTTTAAACAACAGTTAAAGTAATACGGCAAATAATTTCTCTAACGCATACGAGAAAATATCAGACCAAACGGATATAATTATTGGAAAAAAAAGAGCACAATAGAAAGATAAAACAAAAGTAGAAAATAGAATACAGATAGTTCAATGATAGGATATTATACAAGTAAGGCGTAAAGGAACTATGATCAACTACATGACCAGGGGTCCATCAGAATTATCGTTAAGCCTAATTGCTAACCATAGAAACATGTGCACATGAAGTAAATACCAACCATCTTAAGGGTACAACTATAATAATACTATATGATAGTCCCTCCTGCACAACAAGATCGACCCAAAACTAGTCTAGAACTGCCTAAAAACATTAAAAACCTGGGATCTACAAATAGCCAGACTAGGTGAGTCCCAACTAATGAGGAAATGGCCGGAAATCAGATAATTGACATACTAGATAAACAATGAACGGAACAATATCTAGGTCCAAATGTATTTTTTGGCATAAACTACAGCAACAAAAGAATTGAAATTTCTAAGAAAAGAACACAACAAATACGGTGAATAAGAGGAAATCCTGCTAAACGGAAAATAACTAAGACTCGGAAAACCGGCATATGCTTCAACTATATAGCTCTTTTTTACTATCAATATGGGACTATTGACCAATGCCCAATTCGAGTATGTCTAGAAAAGGCAAAGATAACATATCGTATGATCTTCATTACAATTGGTAGGAAAAGGCTATGGTACCTTGGTTCTTGGAAAGCTATTGTTGAGCAATGTAGACTTTGATATCATACCCTTGAGAAGAATTCTTTACTTTATTTAAAGACTGGTGTAAAAAATGGAGAGCAAGTCGGAACAAAGAAAAATGCACCCAGTGTACTTTTACGCTGAAAAAACAGTCTTGCCCTTCAGGCTCCATTGTACATCAGCAATAAAGAGATACCAGTTTCCACTCAAGTCAAATACCTGGGATTATATCTGGACAGCAGACTGTCGTGGAGTCTCCACACAAGACTTAAAAAGCAACAACTTAATACAAGACTTGGACTTCTACGAAAACTTCAAAGACCGAAATCGAATTTGACAACTAAGACAAACCTAACACTATACAATACTTTACTAAGACCAATGTGGACATACAGAGTGGACTGTGAGGTATTGCCAAGCCATACAATATCCAGCGATCCAGTCCTTCCAATCGAAAGTCCTTATACAAATCGTCAAAGCACCTTATTATGTCACTAATCTCACTGTCCGCAAAGACCTCAGCATTCTTTTTGTCATCGAACAGATCCGGTCCGGATTCCAAACCTTCCACACCATCCTTTCGAACCAACTTAACCATACTGCTCGAGCCCTCTCTACTCATCCCATCCTGACCTCAACCGACGATGGCCTCGGTCCCTCCTTGACGTCTTTCATACGCATTGAGTGCCAGAGCAATGGCTGGCTCCTCAAAGCATGTGTTCTACCGGTGCAGTGTTGGCATTAGTGCTACTGTTGTGTTGTGTGATACATTAATAATGTGTACATATTTGTATACTATACGATCATGTAACAGTAACAAATAAATTTAAATTAAAAAATTAAAGAAAGGAAAAACCAAAGTTGAACACAACAGACAAAAGTAAGTGTGAAAAAGGGCAATCCCTACGAATGGGAAAGGGAAAAATTATGGATGCAGGATTAGCCCAGCAATTTCTCAAATTTATCGT